GACTTGCATCTCACTATTAGGCTTTACCATTCAGAGCGGTCGTGTTCTGCCGTGCGAGGAGAAGGTACGTGCCATTGTGGAGTACCCGACGCCGGCAAAAATTCAGGGCCTGGGGCGCTTTTTGGGCATGGTGAACTACTATCGACAGTTCGTCCCAAACTGTGCAGCCCTCCAAGTGCCCTTGACTGCACTCATGGAAAAGTCGGCACGATGGAGCTGGGGTCCAGAACAAGAGCGAGCCTTCAAGGCGCTTTCCGAAGCTCTAGTGGCCACAGCCGAGTTAAAGCTGCCCGACCTGAATAGGGAGTTCGTTGTCCATGCGGACGCGAGCGACCTGGGTCTCGGCGCGGTACTCTTTCAGGAGCACGACGGCGTTTTCCGGCCAGTCGCCTTTGCAAGCCGGTCACTTAACGCCGCCGAGCGTAACTATAGCGTGACAGAAAGGAAATGTCTCGCTATAGTTTTTTTGCTCTCCGGAAGTTCGACTGCTATGTCGACGGCGTGCCATTCGTGGTGGAAACGGACCACATGGCACTCACTTGGCTTAAGCGCTTGCGCGAGCCCTCAGGCCACCTTGTGCGCTGGCCGTTGAGGTTGCAGCGGTACAACTTTGTTGTGCGCTACTGGAAAGGGAGTTCGAACGTCGTGGCTGACGCCTTGTCCCGTGCCCCCGTTTCGGCGTCCGACACTTGTGTCCGCCACTCCTGAGAGCAATCGCATCAAGTAGACCCCGGGCCCTCTGGCTCCAAAGGGTCGAAAGGCACGCACCCCGATGGCCAAGTGACTTTCGAGTTGACAGCCTCGGATGAGGAGACATACCTGGTAGACCCTGTCACGTCCACCGGTATCGTCTTTAGCAGAAAGGAGCTGCTCAAGGCACAGCAGGACGATCCGTTTTGTCAACACATCGTTGATGAGCTCAAAGAGCTGAGCTCCCAAGTGGAGCGTGGGGGTCAAGCCGCCGGGCGCGAACAGACAGCTGGTATTGCTGTCGGCGCCGAGTGCCGAACGCAGGCTGGTATTGCTGCGGGCACGCTGGACTCGTACCTGCTTGATGCCGACGGCGTTCTCCTGCGCTACGTCCCATCTGAAGAAGCTCCCCAGGAGTCTTTCAAGGTGGTGATACCCGGCAGTCTAAGGAAAGCCACCCTAGGTTATTTCCACGACTCGCGGTTGGCCGGACACGCGAGTGGCCTTAAGACTTTTCAAAAGTTGTGCCGCTCCGCAACCTGGCCTGGCATGAAGCGCGACGCCCTTCACTACGCCCGCTCATGCCGCGTGTGCCAATGCGTGAAGCCTCGCGGGGGCAAGCCTCCCGGGCTCATGCAGCCGATCGACAGCCAACAGCCTTGGCAGGTCGCGGCCTGTGACATTATGGGACCTTTCCCAAGAAGCCGGAGAGGCCATGTTTTTCTCCTGGCTGTCACAGATCACTTCACGAAGTGGGTCGAACTGTTTCCCCTTCGGAAGTTAACGGCATGCGTAATCTGGGACAAGTTGACCGAGGTCTTTACCCGCTTTGGCTTTCCGGCGGAGTTGATCACGGACAATGCATCCTATTTCACGGCCAAGGTGTTAATGGATGCGTGTGCTGCCTTTGGCATTAAGCACCATAAAACAACCACCTATCACCCACAGGCCAACCCGACCGAGCGGATCAACTGGAACCTCAAGCCCTTGCTGACAGCCTTTGCGCAGCAACACAGGGATTGGGATGCTTGTCTTAACGAGATCGGCTTCTCCTTGCGGTCTACGGTCAATCGCTCGACAGGGTACACGCCCGCTTTCCTCAACTTTGGGAAAGAGCTACCTAATCCCATGGACTGCGTCCTAAGGGGCGGCGGCGGGGCAAGCGCCGCGAAAGTCAGCCCATCTGGCTACGCGGTGGAACTGCGCTCACGAATGGACGCGGCCCTCGACCTGGCGCGTTCCAACCTGGCAAAAGCGCGAGCTGGTCAGAGGGCTCAATACGACCGGTCGCATCGGGACGTCCGTTACGATGTCGGCGATCTCGTCCTCAGGCGGAATCACGTCTTGAGTGATGCAGCCAAAGGCATCTCGGCCTCCCTTTCGGCCAAGTGGCTGGGCCCATACCGAGTGCACACCAAAGTGACGCCCCTGGTGTACAAGCTGGCTGACTCCCAAGGGAGACCAGTCGGCGGTCTAGTTAACATCTCCGACCTCAAACCTTTCGTTGCCTGCAGCAACGACTTCGGGGAGGGGGAGGCGGTCATCGAACCGCAGGGAAACCGGGATAAGGCTGGTTACAAACCACGCCACCGGTACAACCTGCAAAAACGCACCTAGGCTGATTTTCGCCCCTGGCATGTAGCGGGACATTATCCCCTCCATGTAAGGGAGCGGAGATTTATAGCTTCTGTGCGAGAGCCCATCCAGCAGTAACAGTAACGGCTACCTGGCGAGCTTTCTCCCTGGGAACACCATTACACGCGCTGCGTGCGGAATACCCACCCAGTCCCCAGCACTCCCGGCAGCTCGAGAGAGAAAAGCCTTTTCCCCGGTGGCTCACTCTCTCACTGGGTATCTTCCGCGTAGTCGGCGGGAGACGGGAAGCGTGCGCCCTATTGGCTCACGCAACCTTCAATCCGACGGAGTAGCCTTAGGCTCTCTTTATTGGGCCAGGCTGTCGCGCCTCCGGGGCCGCACATTCAGTGCGTTTCTGCTTTTCACCGACACCTTAGCATTCGTTATGTCCTCCTCGATGACCCGTTCTTCCAAGAAAAAGCCCAGGAGACCAGCCGTGCGCTCGGTCATTCCGCAGGCACCGACCGCGTCCATGCCGCCTCCGTCGAATGCTCCCCCGGCCCCGGCTAAGAAGACACCGCCTCGTCATGAAGTCGCTACGTGGACATTCCGACATGGCACTGAGGCCCTGGTCACCTTCGTGTCGACTTGTCGCTGGTCCAAGCAACGTAAAGTCTGGGTGGAGGTAGACCCCGAGTGCGTCCCGTGTCCTTTCTGCGGACGCACGCTTTCCGACCTGCTCCACGCTTCCGGAGGTGCCTCGATGCCGCCTGTTCCTGAGGCCTCCTACTGCGACGCTTGCGGTGTCCTGCTGGTGCACGAGGCTGCCCACCTCTGTTTGCGAGTTCACCGAGCGAAGTCTGGCGATGCCCCTCCGGTCCTGTACGCTCCGGCGGTGCCGCCTGGCCCGGGCCTTCAACCTGCCCTGTCGACCGACTCCAATCAAGCGATCGTGGCGGCGCTCGTCACGGACTCTTCATTCAAGTCGGCCATCGCTGCTGCGGTGTCCGCCGCCCTCCCGCGGCCCCAGGCTCCTGCTGAGACACTGCCAAACGAAGACACCGGGGCGCCCGACGATCTCGTGGATGGCACGGAGCTGGACCTCAGTTTTTCGGTGTCAGTAGATGCTGTTATTACGGCGTCTTTAGGGCAGCCTCGGTCTTAGGAGGGGGGATGTGGGAATCGAGAGCGCCTTCCTACCTGGCACCTCATTCCCAGCTGCCGCGCGCGCGCCGACGGCGTAGCCCGGGCGCGCATAAGCGCCGGCATCCGCCAAGATGGCTGCCAAGGCGCCTCTTGATCTGAGCCAGTTAACCGTCGGCTTCTTCTTGCGCTGGCATGTCCGGGCACGCTACGCTGGTGCGCTGCGCGGGCCTACGTCACAATGCAGCGCCATTTCCCATTGGGCGCGCGTGACATCCTCCTCTCCTACGAGCTGTGTTGCGCCCAACGATTCGCTCATCGCGGCAGATGCTCTCAGGCCTCCACGAGAGGTTGACGCGCTGCTTAGCAGGCGGCTTCTCGTTCGTGCGCTCGACTTCGGCCCTTGTGCGGGAGTCGTCACGCCCTAGGCAAGCGTACTTGCTTGGTCTTGCGGAGTACCCTATACGGCCTTCAAGCCGTGAGTGTCGCACTATGCTGCATCTTGGGTTAATAAACGCGTTGTAGTTGTTATCCTGCCTCGTGCGTGGTTTCTGCGCCGTGCCGGAGAAATCGACGAACCCGGCCGCAGCGTCGTCGCACGCAGCAGCAGTGGAGGACGTCGCATCCCTACATGGTTGCGCTTAGTAGGTAAGGCAGTGGAGGACGTCGCATCCCTACACGGTTGCGCTTAGTAGGTAAGCCTAGTCCAAACCTATCTCCACAAGTGTTAGCGCAATGAAGAATTATAAAACATGATTTTACTTAAAAATAAGCACTACCTTGGCACAAAAGTAGCACTAAGATGTTTCTGGCACACTATTTCAACAATCAACGTCAGCTTAATAGTTGCCTTTAGTCTCTTTAGAGGAGTCAACTATGTGTATGCCAGAGACAAGTGAAATTTATTGGCATAAAGATATGAAAAGACATACCACTTGAGGGAAAACAAAGCAAAAGCGTTTTGACTGGTTAAAAAAAGTACTATCCATGACAAATATCATTTAGGCATGTATAGACACACAGGTCACATGCACAACCTGTAGAATATACTTACATGCGTGTTTTCTTTCTCTGTTATGTGGTTTTCCATTCCATATTTAGGTTAAAACTACATGCCTCATTTTCTCTCTGATATATTGTATGTCTGTAATATTCTGCCTATTTTGTTTGTTTTCTTCAGCCATTGCTCTATATTAGTACTTAAGTTGGCGATCGCAACTGTCGATTACACAATTGTAAATGGTCCCAATATTAACCTTCGGCTAAAAGGCCAAGCAGTGTTTGCAATTTATTTGTATTTACTTCTTGTCCATAAACTTCGAACGTCAATTAACACACTAGCCATTTAAGTGCATGCCGGCCAGGACCTTCATTTATAATTGTAAAGTTCGAATCCACTCTCACAGCTTCTAATAGTTTCTCTTCACCACCATTACATTGCACAGTGGACAAGCGTTTAAAAACTATGTCTAGCATTTTTCTTGGTCTGCTGCAAAATCATTGAAAAAGAAAAAAAGGACACACAGGTAGTTCACCTATGAGCACCAACTAACTAATTGTACATTTCAAATGAAACTGGGTACACAACTCACCTGCTCTCATGCCAGCATTCATCAGTTGGGTTGCGGAAAACATGCAAGAAATTGCAGCTACGACCCTTGGGACAGGTACGGCGGAAGAACAAGCCTGCAACCAGTCAGAAGGCACGGAAGGCTTGGAAGTTGCATGTGACGCCAGAGTTTGGTGCATGTGAAGTTTTCACAACACATACAAGTACAGCAGTACCTCATTATAACGAAATCACTCCCCTTTATCCAAAATATTACTTTATTCAAAATTCCTTATGATTCCAAGCCAAACACATGCTTAAGCCGCATTGCTAAAAGCTTGCGAACAGCTCAAGCCGCAAGAAAAAAAAGTGACCAGCAGAAGTGCCGCCGCGCTGCGGCAAACCTTTTTGCACCTGTAGTGCACTGAAGCAGTAGTCTCATGCAGACACAGATGAGACCACGAAAGTACCAAGCTCACAACTGCTGGCCCTGGCCATCTAGTAGTAGATACCAAGCACGGCTGAGTGCTCCCAGCCCTTTCCTGCAGAGCGAACGGAAGCTGCCAAATTCATTAGTGCCTCAACCGTTAGTCACAATCACATCACCAGTGTCCACCGCAATATAGACTACACGAAAATGAAGTTTTCCTGGCACTCTGCAATGCCAGACAACCCCATTGTCTTGGATGCTGAAAAGTAGCCAAAATACTGCAGGTTTACATGCAATGCAGCATTCCATGAGGCACACTCGAGCAAAGTTCGTACTCTAAAACGCATTTTTGGCACTGAAATATGATATCCGACATGAGACCTAAATGATGCCATCTCACATGAGACCCAAATGCATGTTGGGGTCACGGGTCAAAGTGAACTAGTGTTTTGGAGCAGCTCAGAGAGCAAAGAATAATGCTGTTTTGAAGCAGCCATGGCGAAGTAAAAGGGGAGTCTAGGAACAGGTTTGAAGACCAAAAGGTGTGTCTTGAAGAAACGCAAATTAGTTTTGGAGCAGCTTTCTAGGGTCAAACATCATCTAAATCAAAATTATTTCTGGTAAAAAGAATTCCAGCAGTTTTCACTAAACATTGAGTACTAATGAGCTTACAACACTTACCACCCACAAGTGTGTGTGTTCCCGTCATTAGGCACCACAGCTGACGCAAAAGTAACTCGGAAAACAAGGGTAAGCGATGCTTATCTCTTGTTTCCATGACCGCTATACTCAGTTTCACACATCAGGTGCAATGGTGCGGAAGCTATAAAGAAAGTTTGATCAGTGAAATTTACTATGCGTGTATCCTCGTTTCCCAATTTTCGTCGTTGTAAACGTCGTGCAAACCGAGCAGGTGCCTCCGCGTGTCATTGAGGTCACTCATGAGCGAACTTGACACATGTGTTGTCTTCCTTCTTGTGTCAACTAATTCGTCTATTGGGGTTGCGCGAGAACTTGAAATAGCCAAAGCTCACTGCATTTTTTTCACCTGAATATCTCTAGCAAAAATGCCAATGGAGAAATCTATTGGTCCTACAGAAAAATCTTATTGGGTCTATAAGAGCTGTGTTGTGACTTTATAGGTCTTGTTTGGATTCTATTGGCACCAATAAAAAGCAATTGACCCTATCTATTTTTCACCAATAAGACCTATTGGTTGTACCTATTTGTCCCCTATAGAATCAATAGACATGTTTGGCACTATTAGGGTTCAATAGGAGACACCTATTTGTTTCTTATAGGACCAATAGATATGTATAAGTACCTATAGGCGACAGTTATTTGTGCGTATTGGTACGAATAGACTCTAATAGGTGGGACGTAATTGTCGCCTATAGAACCAATAAATAGCAGCTATTTGTCATTTATAAGACGAGCAGTTGTGAATTGCCACCAAAATCAAATAATTGTGGGGTTACATGCACACATATTAAATGGTCATCCATATGTATATCACTTAGTATTGAATCCAATGTAAAGGGAGTTTTTGATTTGCTCAATATGTGAGCAAAATGACAGCTAGCTGTTATTTTCATACGAGGGTGTTCGAAAATATTGCAGCCACATTTTTTCCATAACTGTCCCCAATATAATTTCGCACCTGTGAATTTGACTAATCTCACTATGTACTCAACATTATGATTATTACACTTGCGGGATAAAACCGCAAAAATTAAGGTTCAACTTATCATAAAAATGAAAAGAGCGTCACTGCAGCTAATATACTTCAGCAAGGGAACTCAATGTTTGTGTAAAGGCAGCAGCGTACTGCTTATTTTCGAAGAGCGTGCAAATGGGGGGAGGGGAGGGAATAGGCTAATAACAAAATAAGCGAAGCCGAAGAGTATGGTATAAACTTAATTGTCACAGCCTGCTTGAATGTACTATCACCCTTTTCAGCCGGTGGGCAAATAAGGTTCTCCCAATAATAAAAAACACGACCAGTACATCTCCCCGCTCTGCTGGTCGCATTACTTCTCAAGCCCTTGTAGCCTTGGTGGTAATAAAAAGACAAGCCATTCATGATGCATAATGACCAGACTTGCGTGACCATGCTAAGAGTGCGCTGAGACAAATGCGGACAGCGCAGTTCGTGTTTCTTTCCATCGCCCTCGTACGTAGTAACGTAGGCGAGCTCACTGGAGCGTTTCCAAGGTGAACATAGACGTTCGCGTTTGCTGCCGCAGGTTCGTGTACCGCAGAAGTGCCTTATTGCGCACCACTAGCACAAATTAAAACGAGAAAAGCTTTAACATTTAAAATAACGAGCAGTACGATACAGATAGTGTGCAGACTTGAAAAGCTAATTATTAAAAAAGGCTAAACAAAAGGCTATGATATTGCGTGGCCTTACATTTTATTTTTAGTTTTGTCGTTGACATTTTGGTTTTATACGCTTTTTTTTTTAGTCTTCTCATGTGTCTGCAGCTGAGTATATTAGAGAAGAGCAAAAATAATGCAGTAAAATAGCAAAACACTAAATCTTGGTATGGCCACGGCAGGCCTTGGCGCGAGTGCTCAAGCCAACGAGTGTGCATGCGAGCCGACTACAGCCAGCCGCAGCCGCAGCTGGTGTTAGTCTAGTGTGTGGTGCGGCAGTGCGGCCATGAGGTCGTAGGTTTGGCGTAGTCATGTTCGAGTGTTTAGGAGTTTAATTTGCACAAAAACGAATGTGGGAATCGCGACAACGATGCTAGATTAGTCATGAGTGTCAAAGGAGTTATGGATGAGAGTGCTAAAAGCGTCTCGGTCTTCAAAAGCAACTGGTACCGTGTGTGCCGACAGGATGCCCACGAAGGTGGTTTCTTCCGAGCGAATACAGTGAAAGCTCGTTCATTCGAACTTCAATTATCTGAATTTATGGATAATTCGATCTGTAAGTTATGGTCCGGCCAAGCCCCATACAAGCCTATGAATAAGAAAGCCGGTGAATTCGAACGCAAGTAGGTTTCGCCCCAGATAATTCGAACTATGCGCCACCGCGCCAGCGGTTTGGCTGTTCACTTGATAGGGCGGCTGCCGAGTTACGAGGCCACGTTGACAGGGAGCGGAGAGAGAAGCGAAGAAAGAAACTGGCACGGAGGCCAGAGTGCAGAAAATGGCGCCTTTTACTCTTCCCCCCCACAATCTCTCTCTAGGCGGCTGCCTGCTCTCCGTCGTATGTAACCTCCAAGATTTATTTATTTTTTTTAAGCACCAATCTTGGAGCCTTTGCAAATTCTGCGTAGCTGTCACTGTTAGATGACAGATGGCATAACCAGCACACAGCAAATCGGGTGCGTCATAGCTTTGCCCAGCCTTCTCTGGAGTCTCTGGCTCGGGGGTGCGTCATACACCTCGTTTGTTAGTGCCGGGAGTAGCTTCTGACTGTCGCGATTCTTTGTGTTGGTGTTAGGCCTCGGCTAACGTTTGCTGCAGTAAAGCCTGTAGTAGCTTCCCGTCCGACAACATTCTGCTGCTGCGACTTGACGTGTGCCCGCGCCAAATACCGTGCCAAAGCACTTGAGGAGAAAGCTGATATCCTGCGGAAAGTGGACGCCCGACTATTGCCTAAGCAAAATATCGCGAAAAAGCATGGTATGCCGAAATCGACGCTATCTACTTAAATAAAAAATAAGAGGACTATAGAAGATGCCTTCCAGGCAGAAGTTGTGAGCAAAAGGAGGAGGTTGCGGCCCGCAAAGTATGCGTTCGCAGAGTATGCATTCGCAAAAAAAAAATGCGTTTGCAGGACATACCACTGAGTGGCCCAGTCATACTGGCAAAGGCAGCGGACTTCGCCCTGCAGCTAGACTACGACGACTTCGCTGCTTCAGATGGATGGTTGCACCGTTTTCGAGAGCATTACGACCTCGTTTTCCGTGCTTCGTCGGATAAAATAAACGCCGTCAACATGGAAACGTGTGAAAGCTGGCGCTCCAAATGTGTTAAGGCTACATGGAGAAGTATTTTCTGCAGGACATATTTAATGCAGATGAAACAGCCTTAATTTTCAAATTGCTGCCCGCCAAAACTATCACGTATAAAGGCGACAAGTGCACGGGAGGCAAGAAAAGTAAAGAACGAATAACTGTGATGGTTGCTGCGAACAAGACCGGGACCGAGAAGTTGCCTCCGTTCGTGATAGGCAAATCAAGAAGTCCTTGTTGCTTCAAGAACATCCGGTCCCTCCCATCAGACTACACGGCCGGCAAACAAAAAGGCTTGGATGATGAGGGAATTGCTCACGCAGTGGCTGGGGAAGCCTGACAAGCAGTTCGAACGCTGTGGCCGCAAAGTCCTGCTTTTTGAAGACAACTGTTTGGCTCATAAAGCCAACGTTGAGACGAAGGCCATTGAGCTGGCCTTCCTTCCAGCAAACACGACAGCAGTACTGCAGTGCATGGACCAGGGTATAATTAGAAATTAAAAATCATTTTATCGGCGATGTTGAACGAATTATTTTGTGCAATAACTACCAAGTGACACTCCTAAATGCATTACACATGCTTGTGCGTGCTTAGGAGCAAGTGACAGCACTTACGATAGCACAGTTGCTTTCGCCACTGTGGCTTCAGCACCAAAGCTCTGCAAGCTGACGAGCCACCAGAGCTCGAACAGGGCATCACCGCCCCCATGGTGGACGTTTTGGAAGACATCTGCTTTGCG